ATTTGTGGCACAGTGCAGCGGCGAGCCGGGTGAACTGACCTTGTGGGCCGTAGTTTGGTGACCCCTGCCTTAGACTAACAATGCTTTTAGTTACAGAGAGTGGAGTATGATACATTAAAGATATTTTAAATACGAAAATCAACAAGTCACGTAACAACCATAGCAGATGTAAAGTTGCTGTGGAACGGTATGTATCAGGATTACATTTTGACATTGTTTATCGAGAAGTAGGTAGTGTGATGTCACCGAAAATTAATCGCTTTTGGGAAAGCTATATAACATGCCTTTCCGACACAAAATATTCATACACTCAAATCATAAAGATGAGTTCAGATCGGGGATTTATAATTCTCAAGATGGGAATATCACTTGAACGTAATGACATTGGAAGACAAAAGCATGTGAACCATCATACAACACGTCATACCCCAGCCGTGGTAAGCAATGTGTGACGTCTCGTGACGGTTGATATTTCACGAACACAAGCCGTCCATGTATCCCACACAACAGTAGCAACAATGATCAAGAATGCTTTTCATCCGGAAACTAGACCAAAAAGGTTGAGTTCACCATGATGAAGCTTCCAATCATACCTCGTGTTCAACCATTGCATACGTCAAGCAGATGCTATTCCATGCTAGTAAAGTCAAGTCGCCCATGGATTTCTGTGCAATCGGACTGTTGAAACAGTTGTTGGGAAGCCGTTGTTCTCGTACAATAGATGCATTATTATGAAAGCAACAGAGAAGAGTAGTGTGCTTTGGACCTTGCGATGGAGTCTTTTGGAATATTAACTAAAGTCAAATAGAGTAATAACAAACGTGGAGACAGAGACTTTAATGATGTGGTAGGGCTCCAAAAGGTACATGTTTATGTAAGATTCATCAAAGAAGGATAAGAATGTTAACTATGTCAATAACTACAGTTTTTCTCTTTTTCTAAACAAATTGTGTTTCTCTCACATATAATGAGAATAAGCTCATATTGTTAGAAATTTTTGTTGATAATAAATGGAGTAAAATATCTTAATTCTTTAACATCTATGACTTAATACGCCATGACTCAATAGAAACTTAAAGCTTGAATGTTCTTCTGTTAATTGGTGATGTTCTCACAAAGCAAAGAGTTAAGACGAGTTACTTACATTTAAATTGGTTTTGGCTTTCCCAACAAGAGATGTTTCTTAACACGCATAAAAAATAATTGTTTTTCTCATGTTTTCCAGTACTTAGAAAAAAGATTCAACCGGGTGATTCGAACAATGGCCTCCTGTGTTTTTTCTTTTCAAATGGTGAGTTACTTGTTAATGACCTACTTTTGGCATCCACGCTGAATGAATTCGAACGTATGCATGCTACCGTTGTATAAATGTGTATAACTTTTAACACAGCTACAACTGTAAGGGGGAGAAAACAATTATCACTACATAGCAGTGAAGGGGAAAATTTATAATAACTCTGTGCATTGACAAAACTATTTAAATTGTGTCAGATGTAAACAACACAAAAGGTTCAACTCTATGAGAGAAAAAAAGCTGCTGTAGAAGCCCCCAAATAGTGTTGGCCATACCCCACCTCTCCAGTTGCCCACCAAAACAAATGTGAAAAGGTTCGTATGTAAACGACAGGAAGCACAAAAGGGGTGAAACTCCTGTGCTTGAGCCCCCATTGTCTAAAACACAACCCACCGTCCGCTGCCAGTTGTGGCCATGATTGTTATACCAAAAACCATGCTAAATAACAACACATATATTACCCTATTATGAAAGCACTGTGGTTATACACTGTGATTACAAAAGTAAAGAAAAAAATACCCTAATAGAGAAGAGGCACTCTTGTAATGCACTAAAGTTTTCAGGTCGTTTTTTCGACACAGATGTATCATGTTACCAAAGTGCTAAATGCTATAATTTTTTACATATTGGATATTAGTAAACAAGTATACAAGTGTTACTAATCAAATATAGCAATTAAAAGTGTCGAGAGTGCAGATTTCGGTTTGGATTTTAAAATATAAAATTGAAAATATTTTCGCCCAATTTGACTCCTACCAGCTGGTATTTATTTTTTTCTATAGATTATTGAATAATTTGGAATAATTCAATGGGCTTGGACACTATTAAGTGCTCAAGATAAGTACATAAAATTAAATATTTATAAAATTTTACATCGAAAAATTATATTGATTTCATTGTCAAATTAGTTTTTCTACATAGGTTTAACAAGGTAATTGAAATGTTGTCTTAATTTCAAGAAAAATACTATAATCAGTAATTAAAATATATTTTTTTAAGTTATTCGTATTGAATTAATTGATAAAAACAACAATTTCAAAACTCTGGTTTAAGTGTTGAATTTAGGTAGTGCTCTTCTGGGATATGAATATTTGAGAAATCACATATACTGTTATATACAAAACTGACGACCAGTTTGATAAGGTATGTTTTCATTTCAGGATTCCAAACATAATTCTGTAACGGAATCTGTTACTTTCACGTTCTCGTTGATGAATCTGTGAATTAACTAATTTCAAACATTTCAGTGAACTAGTACGGATGTATGAATTACACAGTTTAATATATCGATTAGAGCAAGGGAAGTCAATTATTTTCTGTCACGGTCCCGATTTTGTTTTTGCTTACAGTAAGATGAAGGTCCAGAGAAATATTTTACACCTGCTGCTGTCCCACAAACAAGCACATAAAAAGTCCTATATGACTATATTAATAACTTTCAAAATTATTTAGTTTATTTAAGGCATATTACAAATGCGTTTTAGTTTCACTTTGCAGTGGCTTTACAGAGCTGAGGAACCAGATCTTCTGCTTCCCAACATGTGCGACCATTACTGTGTATTGTTTGGAATTTTAGATGAGGGACTATGGAATTTATTTCCTCATATCCTGAAAATTCAGATACCGAAAGGAATTTAAATCTCTATTCGGAATTTTAAAAGAAGAAAGTATCGGAAAACTTTGAAAACTTAGGGAATCAACTCACCAAACATATCTCCATGAATGGGTGTTAAAATAGTGATATTCCAATTTAGATGGTGTTTATACAGATATTCTTTAGGTCGCGATTATCAAAGTTTGTTCGTTTGTTAAATTTCGCGAAAAGATACCCAAGAGCTATCTATCTACTCTATCCGTCCCTAATTTTGAAATGATTGATTAAAGAGAAGGCAGCTATTTAAAACCACCAACCGCTAATTTTTAGCTACTCTTGACCAACGAACAGTAGGATTTACTACCACATTTTAACAGTCTCCTTGCTAGAAAGGCCAGCATGTTCGGTGACTGGCTTCGATCCCATGAACATCATACTGCAAATCAAGTGCCCTAATCATCAGGCCTCGCCAAGCCCAATAATAGTTTAACATGTAAATATTTAAATTGCAAAATGTACAAATCTCACTTACGAACCTCAAAATATTTGTGTATAAATACTCACTCGTAGCCTGGTACGAGTGGCAATTCTATTAACAGAAGTACTTTGATAAAAACAAAATTGTTCTCAAGCTCTACTTTTGCAAATATTAAAGCTTTATGATTATGTAAAATATTATTTCACTGGTGTTTCACAGTACTCAATATTGGAAATAAACAGACAGATATATAAAGCATGTGCGTTATTCAAGTAAATGACATAGAATTAACAGCCTTTTTTAAAACAGGTAATAACATTTTTAATTTTAATCAGAAGCTTATAAGCTCTTTTAAGAGCTCATCATCAAATGAGAGTCTATGCATAGTTTAATAATTCGAAAGTTTGTGGTTAAAATAAAATAAAAAGCATTACTACGTAATGAAAAGAGCCTGCTAACTCAATAATGTTCAGTTAATCAAACTAGTCCATTATAGAAATATACGTGTTCATATATTAATCCTAAAAGGAAATAAATTTGGATGGTGCTGGTAGACCAGTATGTATGTATGTTTGTATTTTTGTTTTCCTTATTTTTACGGAATAAGTTACACTCTTCAGTTCTAACTGAAATCCTGAAAAGAAAACCAAAACAAGGGAGAATTCATACTTCAGGGGTAAAAGTATAGAAGAATCAATCATAGTATTTATTGACTAATAATGATAAAGACGCTGTAATAATGAATCATTTGTCCTCTTACTTATATGGTTTTCTAAATGGAATATCTAAAAATGAAAATTGTTTTATTAAACCAGTATCATTAACCTTTCAAAAATAAAATATCTTTTAGATTACTTACAACTATATTGCGGTTTTGTTAAGCATACTTTATCAGTTAAATCCAATAGAAATAATTCATGAAGACTAGTGCAAGTATACGTAGAATGAGTTTATCTGATGAAAATTAAATGACTTTCAAATTCAGAAAAAAAAAACGAAATATTTTAATACAAATATTTTGACTTACATCTTCGTCTGGGCATACTGTAATACTAAACCTGAGAACAACTGATCTCAGTTACGCTTTCAGGCCATCATAGGATCAAGAAAGAATTGTGAGAAATGATACAGATTACATCTCATTTAAAGAACGTTTCAAAAACTGTTACATTTGTTCGAACCATCAGGAAATCGAGCATAGTAACAATTAACGTTGATAAATAAAAATTACCAACTACTTTTCCTTAAATGAATTAAGATAAGATGGGTTTAAACAGTGATCGGAGTATTCGATGACGAGAAACCCACTTTGAGACTAATAATGGTTGGAGAAGGCTTGAATGGGTAATGAAGAAAAACTTTAATATAAGTTTAACATAACAGCTAATATACAACCTGATGATGACAAAAACCTTGTCAAAACGTTGTACATTTGCTGTTATGTTAAACTTATATTAAAGTTTTTTCTTCATTACCCATTCAAGCCGTCTCCAATCATTATTAGTGATCGGAGTAATAAGACTAAAACTGGGGAAGCTACAAAGAGATCTCAGTCAGGACAAAATGAGGCTTAGAACAGTTTAGGGGGAAAATGACATAGCCAAGGACTTTATAATAGAGACTAAAAAGCTATGAAATATTAATAAAATAAGAACTTGCAAACAAGAATCGTGAAAACCAGTGGGTCAAGTTCAATAAAGTGTCACAGAAAACAGGAATAATATTCTGGGAAAGAGAAGAATGAGAATAAACAAGACAATGTATGAAAATAATTTTAAAAAGATGGACGAAACAAAATAACTATAAAGCGGATGACTGAAATATAGGAAAGTAGATAAGGAAATCAGTGAGCATAGGAACGAAAAATGTGCAGGAACTGAGAGATGTGAGATAATTCATATCATGCGTGAAATGCGCAGAAGGATAAAAGAGTTCATCAAGAAACTAACCCTGTCTTCCAGTAAAGCCATAAAAAATAAATACGATCAGATACGTTTTGAAATTGAGTATGTAAGAGAATTATATAACGACACCGGGGAAGTTTAAAAAATGGAAAACCTTGAGGCATAAACGAGACATTAAAACGTAATTTTTAAAGGAAATGAGCATTTTAGAGATTAAATATCTGACGGCAATTTGTAACTGAATTTAAAGAGAAGGGAAGGCATAATGCCAACAAACTTTAAAAACCTTATTTTGCACTGATCTCCCAAGAAGCCTCAAGAATATCAGCTTGATCAGTCACACCTTAAGAGTACTGCTAAAGTAATCCTCAATATAATTAAACGTAAGGTTGAGAATGAGTTGTCAGAAGAGCAAATTGGTTTTGGAAGAGGTCGGGGCATGCGAGAGTGCATGTTCTACCTTAGGATGTTAGATAAAAAAGTCATAGAAGTGCAAAGGAATATTTATTTATACTTCATAGACTTTAACAGGAGTAACACTGAGAAGCTAATAAATATTCTTCAGCATATTGGAGTAGATCAAGTAGATATCAGAATCCTGAATAATTTATAATGGAGTCAGGAAGCAACAGTATGAACTGACGAAGAACTAAGCGGTTGGTTTTGGGTTAAGAGAGGCGTACGAGAAGCATGTTCGCGTGTGTGTTTGCTATCACCGACATGATATCATTTGTATGCGAAGTGGTTAACTGATATAGAAGCGATCCGGTTTAAGAAATAAAGTGTGCAATAGTAGGCATGCTCATGATACAGGATGAGGATGAGATACAATGGTTATGTGACAGTCTTGTTGATAAAGACCACGGACTCAGAATAACTCTCAATAAAACTAAGACAAAGATAAGTTCACGATCAGAGGAAGATAAAAGTATATCACCAAAGTAGAAGGTAAAGAGAACGTAAAGGAGTTTACTTTATTAGGGACGAATACCGTGATTGATTGATTGTGTATTTTGAAAAAATTATATTTGTGTCTCAAGATAAAACTATCTTATCATTGCCATTGAATTTACTTGATAATTACAAAAGACCCAGTGGTTAGCGTTTCGGACTGTAGATCTCAGATTCCGGGGTTCGCACTCCGTTTCCGCCAAAAAATAAAGTCGCGATAAGAGGTCTTGACAATCAACAACTCCCACTATTAGAGTAGCCTTAGAGTTGGCGGTGGGTTGTTTTCACTTTAGTCTATCACTTCAAAATTTGACACGGTTTGCGCAACTAACCCTCGAGTTGCTTTGCGCATAATTCAACCTCGTAATTTTGCTTCTCTTGCAGTGATACAACGTAATTTTGTTTCTACAAGAAAATTGCACTATTATTTCTGGCATAGAAACAAAATTACGTTGTATCACTGTAAGAGAAACAAAATTACGTTGTATCACTGTAAGAGAAACAAAATTACGTTGTATCACTGTAAGCTACGAACAACATAATGTGATTTGATTTCATGATAAGAACCTCAAATATTATCCACATCTTCATTATCAAGTAAAATGATACGCTTTACAAGTACAAATTATGATCCCTTACAAGTTTATTATTAATAAGCTGAACAAGCTTCATGGAAACTTGTTTATTTTAATATGATTATTCTTTTATTAATATATACATATTGTATGTGTCAAAAAGAAGTCTAAAATAATAAAAACTATGTTATGAAAAAACAATTAATTTAATTCAGTAAAATAAAACTTTGTAGTGTCATTTGTTGCCGTTTATTCTAGACTTTTATATTCGCTATTTCAAATATTTTATGTTCGATATTACACATCTTTATAGAAACCGGATTTTCTTTCAACTGACATTAGTTCTCACCTTCATGTTTTTCACCTTCCATATAGATGTTGTACATGGCAGTGGTTCTCTATGCTCCAGCTTTAGCGTTAGCTCAAGGTAAGTTTTTAAACAGTTATCAATAATCAACTTCAGAGTTCATAAAAGAAGAAAACGAAACTAATAAAGAGAAGACATGCACGAAACGCGAAGGAAATAATAACTTAGTCTGTTTTTAGTATCATAGAGCATAGTTTGATGTATACTGTTTCTATCTATTAAACTTCACTCTTACTAACTGAACTTTCAGTTTTGCAGTGTAACTCCTTACAACCTTCAGTGTAAATTTAAAAACTCGTATGGCCCCCAAGACGTCACTTCTTTCAGATGATCCTCGTCTTCAAACAATTTTCATTTCAGACTGAAACATTTCAATAGGTATAGGAAATACGTATGTTGTAAGTATTGTGCAATAAATCTTTTTGTTTAAAGTTTAGCTAAAAAAGAGCATGTTGTAACAGTGATATCATTATCAAAGTGTTACGTATTAGAATTGATAATGGTCTGAAACTGAGTTAACAGATAATTTAAATTTAGTAATTAAATTGTACTTTGGATTCAGTATTTAAATGTATGCCGATATATAGTAAGTTTATGATATTTACCAACAAGATTGATACACACAGTTTTCTTTTTTTAACACAAATATGTTTTAATGTACACACAACAATACAATTTAGAATAACAGTTATTACAAATAGTTATTACAAACAATGATTTATAAACAAAAGTTTCACAAGCTTACAAGCAATATAAAGTCTTCTTTCTAATCTTATCGAGTGTTCACGATGAGCGAGTTGATTACGAGTTGACGTAGGTATCATTCACTTCACGGGAAGCTACCTAGCTTTGTCCTTCGTTACTTATCAGCCACACACGCCGGGTTTTCCACCGTGACGTTATGTAATGTTTTCGTAAAACTAATGTCCGATGAGAATCCACTGAAGTTAAATGAGTTGTAATATTCGAACTTTGTAAATTCTCCTGCTCAAATATCTGAAGTTTTCTGATTGGTAAGCGTTATAACAATCACGCTTATAGTTTCCGAAGTTTATAGTACACCGACTATAGCAAACTAATAATAGATACTCTCCTTTTTTGGTGTGTCGCATTGGTTATATTTATAGGCGTATGGAGGTTTTCTAGAAATTTCAGTTTTACGTAACAATACTGGT